TGCGCAGCTCTGGTGAATCTGGACAGTGGAAGGACCGTGGAACAGGTTCCTTGATGCTCTTATTAAATGAAAAGTCACACAAGCTTCGTATATTAATGAGAAAGTCAGACACTCAAAAATTGTGCATCAACCAGACATTAACAAATAATTTTGTAGTGATGAATCTAAGCGGAGCTTCCAATGTAATTTGCTGGGCATCAACTGAGTCGAACAAGTCAGGAAAACATGAAACTTATGCAGTGTCTTTTAAAGATGCAGCTGAGGCTGAAGAATTCAGTGATAAGATTCATAGGTTGGTTAAGTTGATGAACAATGCAAATGAAATTCCTGGGGAATGTATTTCTAAAACTGGAAAGATTGTGGAGATAATTGAGGGTGCTAGTGGTAAAGGAGTTTCTAAGTCACTGGCTGAAATTTTCAAGCCAGCTGTTGGGTCTTGGGAGTGTACTAGTTGCTATACTAGGAATAATGCTGGGGTTGGGCAATGTGTAGCTTGTTCTGCTCCATCAGAAGCTGTACCAGCAATCCAAAAGCCAGTTTCTTCACCAATTGTTAATTCTAATTCCAATCAATCATTTGGTGGATTATTCAAACCACAACCTGATACTTGGGAATGTAAGATGTGTTATATCCGCAATTCTAAATCAGATTCTTACTGCGTGGCTTGTGATAGTCCAGTTGATCCTTCAATGCCCGAAAAACCAAAACCAAATGACGCATTAAGCTCCGCACCTGGACAAACATTTACTTTTGGAATTCCAAAAGGAACAACAGCAACAGCAGGACAATCGGCAAGTTTGTTTACTGACATGCTAAAGAACCAGAAAGAATCTTCAACAACACCAACAGGATTTTCATTTGGCTTCAACCAACCTTCCAAAGAAGGTCTAGGTAGCTTCACATTTAAAGCACCAGGTGCTGATACACCTTCAGATAGCAAACCACTAGACTTCAGTAGATTTGGCCAAAAATCAGAGAAAGACTTTGGGTTTGGAAGTAAAAAGCTTGAACCTCCAGCAAACACCTTTGCATTTGGCTCCCCTGGCAAGTCATTTGATTTCCAATTCTCCAAATCTCCTGTAAAATCCCCCGGAGCTGGAGATGTGAGTGAAGACGAGGTTGCTGAGAGCGAGGATGTTTACTTTACACCTGTAATCCCGTTGCCTGATAAGGTTGATGTGAAAACTGGGGAAGAAGATGAAGAGATCCTTTACTGCCACCGTGCTAAGTTATTTAGATACGACGCTAAGACAAAGGAATGGAAAGAACGTGGACTGGGTGATCTTAAGATTCTTAAGAATGATAAGAGTAATAAAACTAGGTTTGTAATGCGGCGGGAACAGACTCTTAAGCTGTGTCTTAATCATTTTGTGACGGAAGATTTGGAGATTTGTAAGAAAGATGATAAAACTTGGATGTGGCACGCGGCTGATTATAGCGATGGAGAAATCGAGTATGCTCAGTTTGCGTGTAGGTTTAAGACGCCGGAAATTGCGGGGGAGTTTAAGGAGGCTGCTGATTTGGCTATTGCTAATTTGATAAGTGATTCTGTTAAGGAATTTGAATCTTCAGTCCAAAAATCAGCTACTAATGATGTTCAAGTAGTTTTTGAGCGCAAAGTTACAGAAGAAGAAAAAAACGCAGCTTTGAAATTACAATTGCCAGAAAACTTTTATGCCTACAAGCAAAAAGAAGATTGTCAAGGATGTCGAGGATGTAAAGATGAGATTCCGCTGCTTGAAAGTGAAAAAACTCTATTAGAAGCTGATAAATCAGCCGCAACACCTCTTAATATCAAATTAGCTCCACCCAAATTAAGCCCATCGCCTTTAAAAGCTCCTACATCTGCTCCAGCAACTACCTCAATGAATTTCGGAGGTACATTTTCATTTGGCACTTCAGCACCTTCTTTTGGAGCAACTCCAATTTTTGGCGGGAATTCTAACAACGATAAAGACAAAAAAACAAGCTTTAGTTTCGGAAGTTTTTCCGAATCTTCTGCAGAAAAATCACCTAATTTATTTGGCGGGAAAACTATTTGCAGTCCTTCAACAGTGAATTTTGGCAAAAGCCAGGCTTTTAATAAGACATTTGGAGAAACCCAAACTCCTGGGTGGACATTTGAATCTTCTGGGTCTAATAATTCCATATTTGGTGGAGCTAGTAAACCTGAAGCCAATCCATCCTTTTCCAGTTTTGGAACGAATTCTGTTGGATCTAAACCTGAACCTATCTTCGGATCAATTGCCAATGATTCAAGCCCAGTATCCTTTGGTAGCTTGGCTAAATCAGTAACTAGCACACCACCAGTTCAGCCAACTCAAACTCCAACAACAACAACAACAAGCTCAGTTTTTGGATTCTCATCAACCCCATCAACAATCTTCGGAGGTTCAATTTTTGGCGGGAAAGTATTTGAATCTGCTAATATGACTTTTGGCTCTGCAAATACCGACACTAAGGTAGCAGAAGCTCCAGCTGCACAGAAAATTGAAGCATCTAATGCGTTTTTGAACACAGACAACATTGCAACCTTTTCAAGCCTAGCTTCTAAAGCTGATCAGCCTATTGGGTTTAAAACAGATCCTAATTTCTCTTTTGCTGGAGCTGGACAGTCTCTTTTTGGCGCCAAATCTCCTCCGGGTAAAGTAGAGAAGGATTTGAAGAAAGATGATAAGGAAGAAAATGAAGAAGGGCAGGAGTATGATCCCCATTATGAGCCGATAATTCCCTTGCCAGATGCAATTGAAGTCTGGACTGGAGAAGAGGAGGAAGAAAAATTGTTTAGCCAGCGTGCTAAATTGTACAGATATGAAACGGAGACCAAAGAGTGGAAGGAAAGAGGAGTTGGTGATATGAAACTGCTTTACCATAGTGAGAAAGGGACTTACCGACTGCTGCTAAGGAGGGAACAGATCCACAAAATTGTCTGTAATTTTTCTATATCGCCAGAATTAGAGTTCCAGCCTTTGAAGACTTCGGACAGAAGTTTGATGTGGGTGGGCATGAATTTTATAGAAGGGGAGCTTGTTTTAGAGCAATTGGCGGTGAGATTTAAAAATCCGCAGATTGCAAAGGAGTTTAAGGAGGCGGTAGAGAGTGCGCAGAAGAATTTGAGGGAGAGACCACCGAGGAATAATGAGGATGGTAATGAGTATCAGGAGTATCAGGTGGAGGATGATGAGGAGGATAATGAGGATGATGATGAACACTCGATGATGTTTGAACGGGATGCTAGGTTATTTTATTTGGATGGAGGGGATTGGCATCCTATGGCTGATGGGATGGTTAAGATGTTCTATGACTCGGATTTGTATGGAGCGAGGATTATATTTGAGACGGGCTCTGGAGAGCTGATTTGTAATTGTGTTATTACTATTGAAACGGAGATGCAGGTAAGATTTTTTAGTTAGTTATCAAAGGGCGAAAAAATTTTTTTCAAATAAAAATTGTTCTTTTTTACAAAATTTGAAAATTTAGTTAGATTTATAAAAATTTTTAGAATTGAAGAATTTAATTTTAAAAATTGCAATTTGTTTTATGAAAAAATAAAAAAAAAGGGTTTAGTTATAATGAATATGAAAAATCTATAAAGAAAATTTTGTTTTAAGGATAGTCGTATGAAAAATGAAGTTGTATCTTGGGAACGATTGACATTTTTAAAGATATTAGCTCATCTTGATGTTACACTCGTTGAGACCTTTCATTTGAATACCCACAGCAATTTTTTATATATTTTATATATTTATATATATATATCATAAATATCATATATATGAGATATATAAAAAATGCCATGTGGGTACTTAAATGAAAGGTCTCAATGAGTGTAACATCAAAATGAGTTTATGTCTTAAAAAATATCAATATTTAAGACATGACATTGTATCTTGTGAACTATTGACATTTTTTAAGAAATAAGCTCATTTTGATGTTACACTCGTCGAGACCTTTCATTTGAATATATATATATATATATATGAAAAATGCATGTGGGTACTCAAATGAAAGGTCTCGACGAGTGTAACATCAGGATGAGCTTATATCTTAAAGAACGTCAATATTCAAGAAAGTACAGTACAATTTAACAAAAATTCTTTAATGAAGCACAGTTTTATTTATTTATACTTCACAAATCAATGCAGTCACGTAGTGACTGCAAAGTTGCTTGTTAAGAATTAAACTACAAAAAGGGGCAAAAAAAAATTTTTATACCCTCTTTTTTACAATTTATTTATTTTATAATTATTAAATTAATCACTATTTTATTTTATTTCATCAAGGTCGACAAAAACGAATGCATATGGACTGCAATCGATGATGCATTCGAACCATCGGTACAACGTACTCTCAAAGCTCAATTTTCAAACGAAGACTCGGCAGAAGAAATGTTCATGAACTTCCAAGACGGTCAAGTCTGTGCTCGTCAAGCTGATATTACTAATGTCGGTGATTATTCATCGGGTAGATAATATCATTTTTCTTCTATCACTTCTATTATTTAATACCTAAAATATTTTTTTTTAACTGCATCACAAAAATAAAAAAAAAAAACAATTTTTAGATTTCTTCTTTCATATTTAAAAATTTAAATAATTAAAATTATTTTTTTATTTTATGAGATAAATAAAATTCAAAGATAAAATAGAAAATTATTAAAAAATTTAATCTTTTTTTTATTTCAAGAATCATTTATTAAAAATAAGACTTTTTTTTTATACCTCAAGTGATGTTATTAATTATTTACTGTTTTTTGTTTTTATAAAGTTATTTCCTCAATCATTTTTTAAGTTAATAAAAGTTAAGCATAATAGAAAAAAAGGAACGAACTTAATTTTGATTATTTTTTTTTAAGATATGATATAATTAAATAAATTAAAGTTAATTACTGATTAAAAATGTATATGAATAAATAATTAAGTAATTAAATGTTTAATCGTTAGATAAATTTTTTAACATTGTATGTAATTAATAAATGGCAGTGTTGAATCCCTTAATAATATGTTTTATTTATTTTATTTATTATTTAACATTTTAAAATAATTAATATTAATGTTATTTATATATTGTAAAAAAAATTGAAGGAAATTAGCCAGAAAATGCGGAAAATGCTTCTGCTAATTGTTGATCAATCCATTCGCGTGCATACGCGACATTTGAATAGACACCTGGAACTCGGTCTTCGCCACAACCGATGCCCCAAGAAACTATTCCAGCTTGTGAGTAGCGAGTTGGATCATCACGAAGAGGGCAGACTAGTGGACTACCTCCATCACCCTGTTTAATTTTTATATTAATTAAAAAATGACCTTGTATTTTGTGAACTATTGACATTTTTAAATATATAAGCTCATCTTGATGTTACATTCATCGAGACCTTTCATTTGAGTACCCACATCAATTTTTCATATATTTTATATATTTATATATATTATATATATGTATATATGAAAAATATATCAAAAATGCATGTGGGTACTCAAATAAAAGGTCTTGATGAGTGGAACATCAAAATGAGTTTATATCTTAAAAAATGTCAATAATTAAGAAATGAACTTGTATTTTGTGAACTATTGACATTTTTAAAGATATAAGCTCATTCTGATGCTATATTCATCGAGACCTTTCATTTGAGTACCCACATCAATTTTTCATATATTTTATATATTTATATATATGTATATATGAAAAATATATCAAAAATGCATGTGGGTACTCAAATAAAAGGTCTTGATGAGTGGAACATCAAAATGAGTTTATATCTTAAAAAATGTCAATAATTAAGAAATGAACTTGTATTTTGTGAACTATTGACATTTTTAAAGATATAAGCTCATTCTGATGCTATACTCATCGAGACCTTTCATTTGAGTACCCACATAAATTTTTTATATATTTATATATATATATATATATGAAAAATATATGAAAATGCATGTGGGTACTCAAATGAAAGCTCTTGATGAGTGTAAGATCAGGATGAGCTTATATCTTTAAAAATGTCAATAGTTAAAAAAGTACAGTACAATTTAACAAAAGTTATTATTTAATAAAACAAAATTCACATAGTGAAAATAATTTTTTTGGAACAATTTTATTAATTAAAAAAAATTCAAAAATAGCCAAGTGACTCCTAACTTCAATGTCATTTTAAAAAATTACTATTTTTAATTTACCTTGCAAGTGTCTTTTCCAGGTTCACCTCCAGCGCACATAAAACTTTCATTTAATTGGAAATATTTTCCAAGTCTAGTTTCACGTAGAGAATTTTGACAGACTGCGTGATTAATTGCTGGTAAATCTACTCGTTTTAGAATAACTTGGTATTCTCCTTCTTTACCTAATTGAAAATACAAATTAATTTCAAAATTTTTTATGTCAATTAAATTATTATAGAAAAATAAAGTTAGCTGACATCTAAAAATTAAAAAAATTTTTTTTTATTAATAAAATTATTTTAAAGAAATTTTTTTTTTTTAAATTTCATTTGTAATAAATTTGAAAAACTGTAAATACAATTAAAAAAAAATATTTTTTAGTTCTAATTTAGTTTAATTAATTAAGAAAAATCAAAAATGTCGGCTTACTTTATTATTATAAAATTTTAATAAACATACCAAAGACATTTTTTCCCCAACCGCTTGCAACGCACCTTGTATTGTCAAAAATCTCATATTTATCAGGCAGACAAACAACATCAACATTCTCAGCTTGTTCCATCGCTTCAGATAAAATTAATACCGCAAAATCATTGTGTAAATTTCCAGATTTAAAATTAGGGTGCATAATAATTCTTGAAACATCTCGATTTTGATGTGGAAGTGGTTCACTTTGTGTTTGAGTGTCCCATTCGCCGGCTCTTACGACTAAATCTCTAGAGTTTAATCTTTAAAAATAAAGGTTGGTTAATTTTTATACTGAAGATAGCTGTTAATTTTTTAATTATTATTTTAATTGTACCCTTTAACACAGTGCGCAGCTGTCAAAACGGCTCGAGGATGAATTAAAGAACCTCCACACTGATAATGGAATTTTTCTTCTTCTTGAGTATTCACCAAAGTTCCATCCGGAAGTAAAACAGCAACCATCCAAGGAAATTCTCCAAACTCAGCTTCACTATTATCAGCTCCGGTGATTCTAAAACCTACACCATTGAAATTACGATATCCGCATCCACGACGGACCTTTGGCTTCGGTGTTCGACGCTTGTCACGGTCCAGGATATTCGAAGGTGAACAGCAAACTTCTAAATAATTGTCACAGGTATTTTCTCCAAGTCTGTAATAAAATTACTTGTCAATTTTTTATAAAAATTAATTTAGCATATTTTTAATAATTTTTAGAAATTTTATATAAAATAAATTATAATCAAAAAAATTGACATGAAGAAATATTAAATATAAAAAATGAAAATTAATTTAGTAAATATTTAATAATTTTTAGAATTTTTTTAACAAATAAATTATGGCAAAAAAAAATTGACATGTACACGGAAAGAACAAAATTATACTGGATATAATCCCAGATAATACTGAGTGAAAAAAAAATTTCAGATAGTATCTAGTATAATCCAGATAACAATGAGTATAATCCAGATATTATTCAGTATAATCTGGATTATACTAGCTAACATCTAAAATTTTTTTCACTTCAGATGTCACTGAGTATAATCTGAGATGGTATCCAGTGTCATCTTGTTCTTTCCGTGTAGAAATTTTAAAAAATTATAAATGCAATTTTTTTGGAACAAATTTAATTGTTAAATTAAATTAAAAAAATTATCAAGTGACTTTAAAGTTTGTCATAAATAAAAAATGAATTTTTTTTTAAATAATTTTTTAAAACAAATTTATTTGTTTAAAAAAACTAAAAAATTTTTTAGTACTTGCTAATTCTTAAAGTTCATAAATTTTTTTTAATTTGTATATAAAACATAAAATCAATAAATAAATTGATCTAAAATTTTTTTTAACTTTTCAGTACCTGATATCAATTATTCCAACACCATCATTAACAATTGTCCCGTTTGAACACAAGTAATAATTAACGCATTCACAACCATAATTTTCTGGAGTGTTAACATTAATTCCCTGATTATTTGATGGACTTTTTTCATAATTTTCTCTATTAGGAGTGCCAAAAACTTCATCAATTAATTGATTTAAGCCTTTGGTGCTGAATGTCGTCGACGGGCGGTTTGTTGTAGTTGGAATCGGAGCTACTTGTCTAGGTGGTGGTGTACCAAATATTTCAATAAGTAATTTTGGATCTACACCGGTAATTTCGGATTGAGAAGACGATAATCCCATTAGAAAAATTATAATAAATATCTTCTTCCACTTCATGATAATCTATATGATTAAGAATAATTAAAAAGTAATTAAAAAATTGTTAATAATTATTTATTTGTTAAAAAAACTTAAAAAATTTTTTGACTGCTAATTCTTAAAGTCATAAATTTTTTTTATTGATATAAAATTATAAAAAAAAATTTCTAATGTCATAAAATCAATAAATAAATTGATCTAAAATTTTTTTTAACTTTTCAGTACCTGATATCAATTATTCCAACACCATCATTAACAATTGTCCCGTTTGAACACAAGTAATAATTAACGCATTCACAACCATAATTTTCTGGAGTGTTAACATTAATTCCCTGATTATTTGATGGACTTTTTTCATAATTTTCTCTATTAGGAGTGCCAAAAACTTCATCAATTAATTGATTTAAGCCTTTGGTGCTGAATGTCGTCGACGGGCGGTTTGTTGTAGTTGGAATCGGAGCTACTTGTCTAGGTGGTGGTGTACCAAATATTTCAATAAGTAATTTTGGATCTACACCGGTAATTTCGGATTGAGAAGACGATAATCCCATTAGAAAAATTATAATAAATATCTTCTTCCACTTCATGATAATCTATATGATTAAGAATAATTAAAAAGTAATTAAAAAATTGTTAATAATTAATCTAGAGATTTTTTTTTTAATTTTTAAATTTGAAAAATTATTTTTAAAGTTATCAATTAGTTTGTTTTTTGAATTTTTTAATAATTAAATTTTAAAAGCCAGTTATTTTTATTTTTAAAGCTGGAAGATGAATAAAGTAATTAATTATTGTGTTCATGAATTTAAAAAATAAAAATAGAGTAAAACATACTAGAGGATGAACAATTGATAACAAATGGTACAAATAATAAAAAAAAAATTTCATTTAATTCAGCATCAAATCCTTTCACAACATTGACCTTGAATCTCTAAATGATTTAGTATTATATAAACTTTGTATACAAATAACGAATATTTTTTACCTATTCTAATTGAGGTAACACTTTAATAATTCATTCTTATGATTTGATGTGAAAACCCCAAGGTCAGCTTGGGGATATCCATAAAATAAATCTCTGGCTTTCTAATTTATTCAAACAATATTGGATTTATCTTTTGGACTTAGTTAAATTAAGAAAAAAATTTTTTAAATAAAAAATAATTTAATTTAAAATTATCGATATTAAATTAATATTTTTAATAAATTATTAATTATTAATTAATATCTTTAATATAATTTAATAATAATAAAGTTAAATTTTTGATTTTTTTATTTTAATTAATTTATTAAATTATAACTAAAAAATATTTTTAAAAAATTGCACTTATAGTTTTTTAATAAAAAAAATCATAAAAATTTTTAGATATCGGATAACTTTATTTTTATTATAATTTAATTATTTTTTAAATAGAAATATTTAATTATAAATTATAGTTATTAAATTAATATTTTCTATATATTATTATTAATTAATTAATATATTTAACTTATTAAAATTTTTATTTTGTAAATTAAATTAAAAAAAAAAAAATTTTAATTGCAAAAAATTTTAAATTTTAACACTTGCTATAGAATAATAAAAGAAATTAGTAATTATTTTATTTTTAAATCAAGATATTGAATTTTATAAAAATTAATTTATAATTCATTTTTAATATATCTAAAGCTTTTACCTCAACAGTTAAGTGTTATACTAACTCAATAATAGATCTTATTTATAAAGTAAGAAATTATTTTTAAACTGTTAGAAAAAAGTTTCACTGCTTGTGTTTCAGATATTAAGAAAGAATTATTTTTATACTTACAATTTTTATTCTATCCAAACTTTTCACTATAATTTTTTCAGACTCGACGCGCAAATAACGAAGACCGAAAGCTGACTGAAGATTCTGAAGCCTAACACCCGAATTTACGTGTTGAATTGCGACACGATGAATATAAAAGCATTAATTTTTTTTTTTTATAGTTATTTTTTCAACGAATTTGTCGCTTTACTAGAAACGTATGAGTAATGATTAAAAAAAACCCCAATAATAAAAACAACAAAGATAAATAAACAATTTAAACACTACTGCTGAGCTACATAATTTATTTATTTTATTTCCAAGTAATCAAATTTGTTACAAATATATTAGAGCTCAATAATGTAATTAAAAAAAAAAAAAATGAACAATCATCAAGATGTATTTTTAAAAAATTAAACTTATTTTAATTATTATTATTAGAAATCTTTTTATAAAAATTTTTAGTTAAGTAACAAGTCATATAAAGTATCATTTGAACATATTTTAATTATTATTATCATTAACAATAATTATTATTATTATTATTAATAAATCTTTTTATACACTGATTTTAAGAAAATTATTTCCTTCAAAATCTTTTTTTTTAAATCAAGTTAAATTTTTTATCAGTGTAAAAATTTTTAATTAAGTAACAAGTAATATAAAATATTATTCAAAAAATCTTTGAAAAAAGTAATAAATAAAAAAAAATTAAATAACCGCTTGAGGAGGCGCGTTGTTAAATTTAATCTGAACCAAATACTTAATTTTAATCTGAGCTGGATCATAAACAACATACTCATTATGAATAAGCTTCAATTTAGACTTCTCGCTCAATTTTTGTTCTACCAATTTCCCATAGGGAACTTTAACACCAGGAGAAATTTCAGTGCAGTCATCACAATTTGGTCCATATTGCCCCCGAGCGAATACTGAATGTTTTTTCTTTGGCAAAACGAGATTATTATCTGGCTCATACTTTTCTTCCATACTTCCTAAGGCTACCTCGCAGAGCAATAAGAGTACAGTGGAGTTTTGACCTTTGAATACAAGAGAGTATGATTTTTTTTATAATATTTTTCATTATTTTAGTATAGAATATAATTTATCATATATTAAATACACTAGATAATAACTTACTATAAATAAAAGTAATAATTGTAATAAAAGAGTTTTATGATAAAAAACTAAATCTTTCTATATTATTTTGCATGTTTAAATGAATTATTCTCATTTTAAGCGACTGACCGAAATTCTTAACTTCAAACTTCAGAATAAATATATTTTTTTTAAAATATAAAAACGGAGGAAAGCAACAACTAATGAAAAAGAGACAACATAAGAAGTGAAGATAAAGAAACATGGGCTAGATTACGATGCGGTAATATTTGGAGGGACGGAAAAAAAGGGCAAAATAACTGGGGGTGCAGAATTTGTGAAAAAGAGCAAGAAACGATTATTCACATTATAAAGTGCAAGGAAATTCATGAAAAAATAACAGTGGAAGGCAAACAAGCAAAAAAATAAATGGCTAGAAGAGGTAAATAACGATGTGTCCAGTGAATTAATGATAGAAACTTTAAAAGGGGAGATAAAAAAAGACTTATGTACATTTATAAGAGATGTAGAAAGAGTGTTTAAAGAAAAAGCACTAAATAACAAAAATTGTCAAGGCGCTGCGGACATATAATGTATACTAAAAAATGCAAAATTAATTATAAGAGTAAGAACAAAAATGTGATACTAGTAATTTTGTATAGTATAAAATTATTATTTGTTATAAAAGCTGTAAGGAGTGTGATATACTATAGTAAAGCAATTATTTTTGTAAATGTAATATGGTAACAGTTTTGTAAAACACTAAATATGGTGATACAAATAAAATTATATTCTATTTTATTCTATATTTTTTTTAAACTTCAAAATCAAATGTTGATTTTTTTCCTTAAAATATATTGTTTACCGAATAAAATGGCGTTAGTTTTTTTTTTTTTCTTTTTTTTTTTTTTTTCAATATTGTAAAAATCAAAATCTCTGCGTCTTTTTTTATAAAATAAAAATAACTGTTACTTAATTAAGGAAGTACGAGCACCAAGACAACTTTTGATAAAAGACTTGATTTTTTTTAATATGAAGTTTAAATATGTCTATACAAATTCCGAAAATTAGAAGGAGATTTATTTTTATTTTATTTTAAAATAAAATAAATATATTAGTGATAAATTTAATTCAAAAAAATTTACACTTGCCCGACTAATTAAAGTGTATTAATTAAAAACAAAATAAATCCCGCCATTAACCAATGTTAAATGTATATCTATATATTGAGAAAAATCATAAAGCTTATTATAAACAAATCCTTCTCAGTGTATATTGTAAATAATTTATTGCAAATAAAAAAAAAAAAAAAAAAAAAAGCTCACCTTTAACTCTGCAAAAATTAGCAGATTTGGAAACTACATCTGCAAAATAAATTCCGCGCCCAAATATGTGGCTCGTAGAACTAAAACTTTTCTTCGGAACGCGCAATCCTTTCAATAAAATACTGGAAATATTTGTAACTGCAGTTCCATGCCAGAGCAACATTCTGTTGCCAATTCCTCTAGTACGATTATTAAATCTCTGAGCTTCTCCAGCTCTGTTAACAACAAAAATCTTTTTGACCTCAATTTCATATTTATTATGAACAAAAGAATGAGTCTTTTCAATATATTGTTGAATTATTTCAAATTCTTTGGCATTAACGCTCAATTCTTTAATGTCCGTCTTTAATTTACTGTAATAAATATCCAGAACATTGCAAATTTCTCCAGTTCTGTAGTTCATAATTTTATCAGCCAAATAAATCTCACTCAACTCATCAAGCATGTCCAATTTTTCCTGGATTATTTTTCGATCATTCAAAAGTCGAATTTTGCCGGGTAAGTGAGGAATGCAAGAATAAAATTTAGCTGAAGCTTCATTAATTATAACAACTTTATCATCAGCTTTATCATTAACAATACTTATTGCTTGCAAAATCATCTTCAATTTTGCATAAGCTTGTCGGATTTTTTTGTTTGATAATTGTCCGGGTCTTAATCTATTAGTGTCTAAATTAAAATCTTGCATTACTTTGCGGATGTTTTCAGTATTGAAGATTAATTTCATTAAATTTTGTACTGATGGGATGAGTTTACTTTCAAAGCTGTCTTCAAGATTTAAAGTAGAGCCTTGCTCAATATCCAAAGTTACAAAGTCTCTTTTTAGTCTAGATTTTACAAGCCATCTATATTTACGAATGCAAACTTTTTTTGGCAATTCTCGAAGCAAATCATCTCCGTGAGGAGTAATAATTGTTCCCCAAGTGCGGAACAACCAGAACTTATTTTCAGTTTTGTGTTTTAAAATTTGGACTTTGTAATAATGAAGCTGCTCCCAGGGATTTACTTTTAATAAAACGGTAGAGTAAACTCGAGCAGTACTCTCGTAAATATTAGTGGTTTTTTTGAGCTTAGAATCTGGTTGGAGCTTTTCACATCCTTTCATCCAACGTTTTAGTGAGTCTTGCTTTAAATCATCAGATTTTTCGCCATTTAAAGTCATATTTTTGAAACGTTCGGATAAATCTTTAAAAATAAAATACATATATTTGGTTTTTATTTTAATAAGCAATATTACTTTTAATTAATAATATTATTTAAAAATTAATAATAATAAAGTTAGCCGACATTTAAAATTTTTTTATTTTGCTTAATTTATAACTAAAAAATATTTTTAAAAAATTCCACTTAAAGTTATTGAAGTTTTTAACAATTGAAAAATTTTTTTTGTAATAAAAAAAAATCATAAATATTTAGATTTTGGCTAACTCTATTTTCATTAAAAATTATTGCTTTTCTTCATGTTTTCTTAATTAATTAAAAATTTTATTGAATCTTTAGGAATTAATGAAAATTAAGTTAGGCGACATTTAAAAATTTTTATAATTTTTTTTTATTGAAAAAATCATTGCAAAAAAATAAAAAAAAAAATTGCACGTCTAAAAAACTTCAAAAACTGTAAGTGCAATTTAAAAAAAAAAATTTTTTTTTTGTTCTAATTTGATTATTAAAAAACAAATCAAAAAATTTAGAACGTCGGCTAACTTTAATGACATTAGGAATTATTAAGAAAAAAAAAAATGATTATGATTAGGTAGAATAAAAGCTTATCTTGGTATTTCTCAGAATATGGTAATTTTTTTTTTTTTAATAGCATAATAAGAGATTGCGATAAATGTTATCTTTAAAAGACAATGCGCTTTATTTAAAAAAATTGCAACTATTTATTTATTTTTTATAAATATTCTATTCATTTATTTATCATAAAAAAAAATTTTTCCAATTAATTAATCTTTGCAATATTTAATGAATTTTTCTTCTAGTCTATCACTAATTAAATTTTTTATGTTGATCATAATAATTATAAAACGGACTTAGCAAAATTTGCAATTTTAATATTAAATTAAAAAATAAAAAATTAAATTCTACAAATAAAAGTTTGTAATAAATAATGACATTTAAGTAAGCTGTCACTTGACCAATTTTTATTTTTTTTTTTAACAATTAAATTATTTTTAAAAAATTGCATCTGTAGTTTTTTTAATTTTTTACATGTCAATTTTTTTAAAATTTTTTTTCCATTAATTTATTTGTTAACAAAGAGTTCCAAAATTTATTAAATATCTGCTAAATTAATTTGTATTGATAAATAATAAGTGCAATTTTTTAATATAATTTCCTAGAGTAGATTTGTTGAATAAAAATTAAAAAAATTAATCAGCTGATTTTAGTATCTTATTAATTTAAATAAATAAATTAAAATAAAATTTTAATAAAATACGACGTAAAAAATCAACTAAAAAAAATGACGCAATTGATAAAATTTTAGATGTTTTATTAAAAAAAATTAACTTACCCATTTTTAAACTCGTCAATTTATTGTTGAATCATAAAAAAATGAACAATAGTCAAATAATTGTTATTAAAAACAATTTATAAACTTTACGTTGAAACAAATGAAAGAGCGCGTTCTGTGTGATTCAGTTGCGTCGTTTATACATTCCGTAATGCGAAATCGCGCAACAATGATAACAAATAACTCGACTAAAGCCAGTAAACTGATTCCAGGATTTACTTCTGGGATTCACTGCTCTAACTGATGCAACTGATGTGACGTGCTTTTTAACCAATCAAAAAAGACTTCCGGTGGACGTGAGTTTTTTATTGGATATTTTGTTTATTAAACTACCGGTAGTTTTTCATTTGACAATAATAATAATAATAACAATCATTAAACAATAGGTTTAATTATTTATACTGAAGTTAGCTGATAGCTGTCAATTTTTTATATTCTTATAAAAAAATCAGTTAAAATTTAAAAAAATGACTTTTTCACTATTCATATTTTAATTTTTACATATGAAATTTTTTTATTAAATTGTTTTTATAACAATTCAATTAAAATAAAATTATAAAAAAATTTTTAATGTCAGTTAACTTCATTATAATTTTTAATTATAATACTGAAGTTAGCTAACAGCTGTCAATTTTTCTAAATTCTCATAACAAATCAATTACAATAAAAAAAGTACTTGCAAAAATTTTTTAAAGCTTCTAAAGATTTCATTTTTAAATAAAGTTTTCGTGCAGTGATTTGTTGGTTAAAAAAAAGTTCTTAAAATAATTCAACATCATCTTCAATGGTAAGTTTTAATTTATATTATTTATTTATTAATTAATTAATTACATATTTTCTTATTTTACATTAAAAGTAGAAGGTAATAAATAAAATAATTTTATTTAAGTATGTAATTTAAAATGAAAATTAAGTTAGCCGACATCTAAAAATTTTTATCATTTTTATTGAAAAAATTATAACAAAAAAATTAAAAAAAAATTTGATTTGTGAAAAATTTGAAAAACTACACGTGCAATTTTTGAAAATTATTTTTTAGTTATAATAAAATAATTAAATTAGAACTAAAAAATATTTTTTAAAAATTGCACCTACAGTTTATCAAGTTTTATACAAATGAAAATTTTTTTTTATTCTTTTGTGATGATTTTTTCAATAAAAAGAAATTTTTTTAATTTTTAGATGATGGCTAACTTAATTTTCATACTTTAGCATTATAATTAACTATCAATTCATCAAATAATTAACTATTTACAATAAATAAATTATTCAATATAATTTATTTAATAAAATTTACTTCATTTATATCACGTGTTTAATAGAAGCTTCAGAGATAGTTTTATTTACTAAAAAATTTTTCTTCCTTTTGTATAAAAAAAAAAAATTAATTTAATAAATTAAAAATTTATCAAGAATATAATTCATAAAATTAAATCTTTTAATACAAATAATTAAAAAAATTACCTAGTTATTTAAAAAAAATTATTAAATTAAAAAAGACAATTCTTCCATCTCATTATTACTTAAATAACTAAAAATTTCTCTTACAAAAACATCCGGTAGCTCTTCAAGAGCATCAAAAATAAAGTCTTCAATTTTCTCAATAAAATTCCTCCTAATCACTCCTTCTCTTAACCGATTTAAAATAAGCGGCGCATAAATAGGAAATTTTCCTTCAACTTCATCAAAACTATCAACAATTCCCCTAATTTTTTCATTAGCCATATAAATAGCTAACTGATGAATGCTTTTATTAAAAATTTCAAAAAAATTCACATAACTATCCCCAATTTTTTCCACTTTCATACTTTTAATTTCTTCTTGACATTTATTTTCAAACTCAACTAATTTATCATCAATATTAATTAATTTTAAATTATCTTCACTGACAAAATAATTAATAAATTTCAATCTAAGCACATGCCTTTTAATTAAATTCGCAATAGCTGTGCTTTCAGCCACAGCAAGTGCAGTTTTTTTATTTTTATCACAAAGATTAATATCAACATTTCCGTTTAAAAGTTCATTTGTAATTTTATAATTATTATTTTTAACAGCTTGATGAAGAATTAATTCATTATTAATTAATGTTCTTACATTATTAAATTTATTAATTAAATAAATAACTATTTCTTCATGATCATTTTCAACTGCGCTAAAAAGAAGCGAAGGAGAATTATCCTGACAAATACAAGGCAATCTAATTTCAAAATAATTGAACAATAATTCTACAATATCAATCATTCCTAATCTAACAGAAAAATGAAGGATGCATTCGCATCCTTCAATTTTACACCTTGCGCCTTTTTCTAATAAAAATTTAGCAATATCTTCATTCCTATATCTAATTGCGCAGTGCAATGGGGTCCAACATTGCTTCAATCCGTAATTAGCTACCGCTGAAATTTCAGCGCCATGTTGGATTAATAAGCTTACAATATTTAAATCTCTTTCTGCGGCAATGTGAAGAGCTGTTTCTTTGTAGCTTGTCCTTGCATTGATGTCTACATTTTTATTCAGTAAATATTTTACTAGTTCTTCATCGCTGTTAGCTACGGCTGCGTGCAAAAGAGTGAAGTCTTTGCGACCGTGGTAGATTCCTATTGCGTTGATGTCAACACCGTTTTTTAGGATGTGATCTATGTTGTCTCGGTCTATATGGTCGTAGAATAATTGTTTGGAGTCGTTCATTATTATTGACAGTAGGTTATTTATTTAAAGAAGAAATAGAGCTGTGAATTATCTGAAACAGAATGTTTTATGTTTGATTAATTGGCGAATTAAATCTTGATTATTAAGAGAGTAAGATCTCTAGATACAGAAATGACCTTGTATCTTGTGAACTATTGACATTTTTGAAGATATAAGCTCATCTTGATGTTACACTTATTGAGACCTTTCGTTTGAGTACCTACATCGATTTTTCATATATTTTATATATTTATATATATGTATATATGAAAAATATATCAAAAATGCCATGTGGGTACTTAAATGAAAGCTCTCGATGAGTGTAATTTAAAAATGAGTTTATATCTTAAAAAATGTCAATAATTAAGAAATGACCTTATATCTTGTGAACTATTGACATTTTTAAAGATATAAGCTCATCTTGATG